TAGATTGTCTTAATGACAGACTCGTAGATAAAATATCGTATGCAACTCTTATGTAATCTCTATTTAAAGCATACAAAACTTTAGATACTAATAAAATGTCTCATTTAATTATTGTCAAAATAGCAAATAGATTTTTTGCAAATTGATATGCGCGAACCCTGCTTTCTACTAACGTCCTACGCACTACATATACCTTGATATATCCATCAAACACCTGTCGTCGTTCGATAAATTGATAATCTTTATTTTTGTGGCAGTCTTAGTGAACGGAGTGAGAAATTGGCTTTGCTTTTATTTGCAAACCTTTGAATCCATTCTGAGATCCCCTTTCATTAAAAAAAAGACATCAATTCGGCGTCCAACTTGGAACCCTAAGAATATCATGCTCGTTTTCCCTACAAACTTTCGATTTTATTTCCCATAGCTCTGGATATATTTCAAAAATGTATATTAATACAACTATTTCCTCTTTGGTCTACGTACTTTTTCCCTCCTCCCGTCAAACACATGTCATCGTTCGTTAAATTGATAAACTTTATTTTTGTGACAGTCTTAGTGAAAGGTAAAGATTAGATCCCTCATTTGCAGTCGACTCAATATATTATTATTATTATTATTATTATTATTATTAGTAATTCGTTATTATTACTTTATTATATGGTCATATTTATAAAGTAATTTTAAAAGCAAACATTGTCACCGAAATAAAAGAAATTCGCATTGCTTTCATTTAGAAATCTTTGAATACTTTCTGAGATGCCCTCTTCCTGGACTAAAAAAAGACAAAAACCTTATGTGTCCAACAGTCCAACACATGACTTTACTGTCTAGTTTTTGCAGTCTTTTTGTTATTTTGTACAACCTATTGTATCACCCAGGGAAATGTTTATAGGATACATACGACATAAATTTTCATTGCCAACGAAAATACTGAAAAATTCAAATTTTACTCATTTCCTCAAATTTTTCCATTACGGTCCATTATAGAGAACGCACGTATAAAATAAAATTTATAGAGAATGATATCGCAAACAACTTCTATCCGAATAACTTTCTTAAAAATTGGATTTTTTACTTTTAGTCAAATTTCTGGAATACAGACCCTTTTAGGAAAATTTTGTATACGGCAAAAATTATAGAGAATAATAAAACAAGCAACTTTTATTTGAATAATTTTATTCTACAAGTGCAAATAACAGATATAATTTATAAAATAGAAAAATAACCCTCTATAAAGTACCCCCAGATGTTCCGATTATGCCCAAAATTTAATTAGTTTATCCGTTTTTGAGTTATCTTGAAATTTTTAAATTTGCACTTTTTCTCAATTATATAGAGAAATTATGTACAGGACAAGAATTATAGAGAATGACATAACAAACAATTTTCTTATAAATTTGATTTTTGTTACTTTTTGTCAAATTTCTCGAATACTGGTCATTTTATGAACATTTTGTAGGGGGTAGAAAATAATATTACAGCAATTTTATATGAAAAATTTTCTTCTTTAAGCAGGATGGATTAACGCTTAAGTTTAGAATTTGGTGTTTTTCTGCATATCCGTTCAAGAGTTAACGAATATACAGACAGAAAATAGTCGAAACGGATATTAAGCGATTAAGAGTCTCATGCTCATTTCCCCTTACAGTCTTTAGATTTTATTTCCCATAGCTGTGGATATTTTACAAAATAACTCTTTGGCCCACGTACTTTTTCTCTCCATCCGTCAAACACCTCTCAAAACATCTGTTAACAGGGATACTAGCCACATACTCATTATTTTACCTCTAATCCGGAAGATGGCGCTAGTATACATAAATAAGGATATAATATTTTTATATAACAAGTGTATAAGCCTCAGGTTTTTTAAATAAATCATTCCAAATCATTTTTAAATGTTTTTTAAATATTGTCTTCTAAATGAGATACACTATATGATTTGTTCTAATTTTCGTAATTTATATTTAAATAATTTTTTATTTGTATTTGGCAGATTTAAAACTTAATTTTCTCAAAACTTACTTAATGTGGCATGTAACCTTATTACGCCAATGTCTTCAATTGATAAACTTTATTTTTGTGACAGTCTTAGTGAAAGGTAAAGATTAGATCCCTCATTAGTAGTCAAATCAATATATTATTAGTAATTCATTATTATTAGTTTATTATATAATTATATTTATAAAATCATTTCAAAATCAAACCTTTGTCACCGAAATAAAAGAAATTGGTATTGCTTTCATTTACAAACCTTTGAATCCTTTCTGAATAAAAAAAGACATAAAAACTTGGCGTCCAACGTGAGGCCCGATCTCACGACCCTTAGATTAAGACTATTAAGAGCTTCATGCTCATTCCCCCTTACAGTCTTTAGATTTTATTTCTAATAGCTCTGGAAATTTTTCAAAATTTGTAATAAAACAACGATTTCCTCTTTGGCCCACACACTGTTTCCCTCCATTTCGAAACTTGGACTATCCACTTCCACAAAAACTCTTTAACAAGCTTGAAATACATTTTTACATCCTATAGCGGCTCTCCTCAACCTGTTTAGACTCGCAAGCGATTCTTGCTTCTATTGATTTGCACCAGTTAACATAGCAGTCTATGGGTTCTTCAGCAAGCAAATTCAGTTTATCATGAGTTCTTGATGCAATAGCTAATGAGGTGTCATCTGCGAATAGACTTGGTTAAATACCATGAGAAGCCAACATGTACTCACACATGAAAGTGATATACGAACCGCGTGAGTCCGATGTTGATTCACATCTCACATGCTAGTTCCTTGTCGGCTTTTCGTACCCATTTAAAATACACAGGAACGTTTTGGGCTCGGCCAGATAGTCTAGGTGTGCTTCTGAGAGGCCAACCGGAACTCACATGGATCATAATATTAATAAATAATAGGTTTGTTATTTTATAAGAAAAAGTAATTGGCCCATGGAAACGTTAACATCTTATCTTGACTATTGTGGCGCTTAACCTGTTAAATTACAAAGACTTCAGTGAAAATACTTTGGCAAATCATTGTAAAATAGGGTTGCCAGACGTCACGCTTTAGGCGTATTTTCCACGCTTTTTGACTTGTTTGTACGTTCAACGCCACAGTACGAAAATGTCCCGCTTTTGACAAAAATGCCACTCTTTTTATGCAAATGGCAAAGCCTTTTAATTTTCTAAGCCGCAAATAAAAATGAGGAACTGGATGTATAGAAAAATATAAGGTGAAGACCACTTTTTTTAGAAATTTCACAAATAATGGACCTAATTATATAAAAATGCTTGGTTGTCGCGCTTTTCACTTTCATAAATCTGGCAACCCTATTGATAAACATCTGAAATATAAACGGTCCTAGCACATATTCCTCGAGGATTCCTACGTTTACTTCATGACAATTAGAATCTTGAATTTTAACATACACACAACCAAATTTATATGGAATCATCTATTCTTTTTCATAATTTTTGAGATGTATGAACTTACCAAAGACTTTTAGTGAAACATAACCCACATAGCAATAAAAAAAAATAATTTGACATAACTAAAACGATATTTTTTTGGTTTCTGAAACGAAATGAGATTTAGATTTTCAATGGCCAAAAAGCAAAAACAAAAAAAAATTGGTAATTTTAATAATCCTTGATGCCACCTCTAGCCCTTCTATTCGCCTTCGGTGCTGTGAGAACCCGAATTCGATGGTTATCTGATCTTAGATCAATTCTGGTAGCATACGAAAAAAGAATATTTTGCCAATTCTCAATTTTCCAGATTAGGTGTTGAAGGCACCAATTTAGCGGTCAATTTTATTTTGCCTTGATAACTGTGAGACCCGTAATTCTCTCCTACTTTATAACCCTCGAGCGTGAAGTCGTTTTCTTATGGTTTCAACTGAGACGTTCACACCTGTAGCTTCCAGAAGTTGTCGTTACAAGTCTGGATGAAAAACACTGGGATATCTTCTAGAAATTTGGAACACAAAACGGTCCTGTTGTTCAGTTGTGACTCTGACTATTTTGTCTGGGCCTCCTGTTCTTGAGAGTTCCTCGTTCCAAGTACCTTGCATATGTTTTCGATACAACACCATGGGTAACGCCTATTACCTCTACTATGTCTCTTTGGAGCATTCCTTGTTCAATGAGAGCAATAACTCTTCCCTCTGCACATCTGTTAGTCCAACATAAGGAATTTTGTTTTTTTTTTTGTGATTTTACTTCTGAACACAAAATTCACGAGATAATAAATCGCAGCAGTTCAGAACAAAAAGCCTTATCTTAAAGTTGGATACCTAATTTTTTCCTTACAAAAAGTTTATTCAGAGATACAGAGTGATTCCATATAAGTTTGGTTGTGTGTTCAATGTATAATTTATTTATTTGGAAGTACATAGGTACTCCCAGACATAAACTAGCAATAGTTTTCCTTGTTCGTGTAAATGACTCTTTTTAGTTTAGAGACTTATTTATTTTTGAGTCGCCTCGTACACAAAATGGCATTAAATACTTGATACACCTTTTGTCTACCTACCTAACAGATAAATAAATAAAAAACGGCATGGACCCTGAGTCACCTGCCGGTGCCAGCTACCATTTACCATTTCTCCCGCATTTTATCCCTCTGCCTCTGCAATATCGTTAATCGCTGTAGGCCGTAGAAAAAAGTAACAGCACACGAACAAGATCAAGCAGGCTGCGCGCACCGCCTGCGGTTCCAACCACGTGAAACCGTGAAGCGCGACTCCTGCCGCCTTCGGTCAGTCAGTCTGTCCTGTCATTCGCGCCTTCATCAGCGCCAGATCCGACTGTAAAAATTTTGCTCTCCATCCGCGGGCCAATGTTTTTAAAATAGACATACATAAACAGAAAGTTGGCTGTGCTGTATGTCGGATGTCGTTGAATCGGAGTGCAACTGCATCTATTATTATTATAATAATAGTGGCAATACATAGTTGCCTGGTCCTTTCTTCTTCGTGTTTCATTTTTTATAATACTTGAAAAAAAAAATGACTTTTCTATCGAAGTGTGCCAGGAAGTCCAGCTCTGGCAAGCAGAGTGTTGCTGGTTTGGAAAGTGTCGGTGCTAAAGATATCAAGCCATGGTATGTTAAATTATATTTTTCTATTGCATTAATAATAATAATAAAACTATAATTACTATAAACTGTAACGATTAAAAAGGCGAATAAATGGAAAAACAGTCGTTTCTAACTTTATGCTAAAAACTTCAGGAGATTTTTCATTGAAAATTACGAGGGATGGGTCCTATAACAAAATTTTGTCAGGTCCAACCGCTTAAGAGATATTACCACCGAAAAATGTAAGGACAATTTATGTTTAAATTTTTTTTTTCCTTAAATCTGCGTTGATGTAGAAACTTAAAATTTTGAACATTACAGCCACTTGTAAAGATGTAATTAGGAGTATTTTTTTATTAGTATTACCATGTTACAAGGGGGTTTAATTTATATACTTTATTTCTTTTTTGTTATATCTGTTTTGTCGTGTTGAATTTTATAAATTAAATATATTTTTCAGAATTCTCTTTTTATTTGTTAACATTTTGTTTCTAGCTTTTTTTCCATAGAACTAATAGTTTTTGAATAAAAAATATGTTACCTACATAATATCTTGTTTTGAATTTGTTTTTTGTTTTCTTTTTTTGTTTTTTTTTCCTCAAAAACTATTAGTTCTATGGAGAAAAAGCAAGAAACAAACAGGAATATGGCATAGCTTTTATAATTTCTAATAATCAATCGCATTTTACTTACATCTTTTCTGGGGTGACATCTCATAAGGGATTGGTCCGAGAAAATTTTGTTATAAAACCGACCCATCATAATTTTTAATAAGGAATCTGGTCCTGAATTGTTTTACGTGAATTGGGGACCATATATGGACAATCCACTCGAGTTGTACAGTATATTTTTTCTACCACCCACTAACGAAAATCTACAAATTTTAAAAATTGAGATATAACTTATTTTAAAATAATTTGATTTTTACTAATTTATAAAATAAAATAAATTAACAAGAAAAAAAAAAGATTTAATCTAATCAGTATCCAGCCCAGATTTGAACCCGAACCTCTCGCATAGCAACCAATCGCCCTGGTCTCGCCTCCATCGACATACTTACCATTTTAGTTTTAATACTCGTGATTAAATTAGTATCATATAGTTTAATTAAAATGTATGATTTATTTGTAAATATAGACGAAATAAAAATGCAAATATTTATCGATTCTACACAAGAATAATTCATTTTTACGTATATTTAATCTCGCAATAACTAAAAAATATACTATAATTATTAGTTTGATAAAATGGTCACTTATATATAAAATTATCAAAATAATAGTAGCCGAGTTACCAAAATTCGAACTGTGATTGGTGTATTTTATTTTTTGCAGTATTCTTACTCTAGGTAGAATGTATATGAAATGTATTCGTTCAGTTCGTTTTGTAGTCTGTTCGTAGATAAGCTAATATCCATGTGGATGTGGAAAACATCTATTATTCTCCAGTAAATTTCCAAAAATGACACTTTTTGTTTTTGCGAAAAAAATAAACAAAAGATTATTTGATATGAAATTTGCTATAACAGCGTACCAATAAATCATAAACGCAAATGTTTGGAACATAGGAATGTTGAGACATGATAGAAGAAATACCATGTATACAGAGTGTAATAGAAAGGTAGGCCTCAAATTATTATATCAGATATTTTGGAGTATCAAAAGCTATAGCCTTCATTTAGAATACAGTAAATTTTTTATGAGGGTTTTGGTCCTCTAGATCCCTCTCAAACTTTAGAAAGCTTTATAAAAAAATATTTAAAGACTTTTTGATTTATGGAAAATTTTGAATTTTGTTTTAAAACTTTCAACACCCTGTATATCGGTAACTATGCTCTTTAAGGGTTTATGTTCCTATAATATTAAAATTCGTCAATTAACGAGAGCTCTCAGGGGTAGAGCTTTGTTGGTCGAATATAGTGACACCCTGTCGAATTATAGATTGTAGTTCTTACAGACTACATAGAAGATATAAATTTTGTAATGTTTCTGCAAGATGACGATACAATACTTTGCAGTGATCAAGTAAGAGAATATCTTTTCTGGCGGTACCATTGGGCTCTTATGCACATATATCTTGGCATGTACCCAAAAATACAACAAACAAAACTTAAAAACTTTTTAAGCTTTTACAGATATATTGTGAATATTATTAATATGAATTAAATAGAGCTAAGACACTTCCTCATGCCACACTACACTGCTCAACGGAATGGATAATTCTGTCTTCAATTTTAAATTGTTAAAATAATGTCACTGTATATTAGGTATCTATAACCGGTTGCAACAGAATCCTAAAACATTACAATAGGCTTATAAGTTGCAAAAAATTGGGGAAATCCAAATATTTAGAATATACACTTCAATTGCTGAGCAGTATATATCACATATATTATTTTATTCGATTTTTCTGGTCCAAGTAATAGTCATTCATTTATAATCTATAATTAAATCTTAAAACGACAGCTGCTATTAATCATTTAATTTCAATTTATAATTTTGTCAATAACTCAATAATGTTGTAATCTTTATAAGGATCAACAACATGTGTATGTAATAAAATGTGTGCTATGCTGCAAATAGAAAGTTACTAGTGGTTCATATTATTTATTTGTTGTTGTTTTTTTTACCTATACCATTGGGTATTAAATCTAGAAACAAGGCGGTAAAAATGTTGTTAAAAATGTGATCTTTATTTGCAGCTGTATATTTTTCATTACAAAAAACAGTATTACAGAGTATTCGACAATAACATGTATCCCACTTAACCAAATTAGCTAAAAGTAACATTAATGACTTCAGCAGTAACGCTAAAACAATGGCTCTAACGTATTTGATTGTACTGACAATAATTATATGTTGTCTAAAAATGGCTGTTTCCCAAGTTCATCAACCTTTTTAATATGTTGGACCATTTTTTTAGCCCATCAACCCAATTTTTAATCTATTTGTGTGTTTTACTTACTACAATTTTTATATGTACTGTTTGTGTAATATTTGTGTACTATTTCTGTGCTATTTGTGCCATAATGTGTACGAGTGTACAACATTCTCACGGTTTCGTTTAATTATTTTGTTTTATCAGTAAAATAAGGGAACCTTATTAATTTTTTTTTTACTTCACTCGTACATGGTATTCCTTTTTTAAATGTTTTAAGTTAATATTGTTTCAATGAAAGTATTTTTTTCTTAAAAATTAATAATAGTTTTCCATATAGAATAAGCTTAAACTATTGTGCTTACTTAGGGTGCGTGTGCACTGAGCGACCAGGTCGTGACGGCCAACGAAAACCTCTTCAACGTACAGACGACCAGTAAAACGCCGCGACCAACAAGATTCATGTTGTTAAATGAGAGGTAACGCACTGGCAACAGACATATATTTGGAAGCTGCTACTAGCGAGATATTCATTTTGAAACTAGAAAATTGCTTGATATTGGACGCAATCACTGTCGCAAATATGTTGTTACGTTGTTTATTTTAAAACAACAATTTATTTATTAATAATTTATATTAAAATAATACTATTCTAATTTATATATATTTCGAATGTCTTTGAATCGTTCACTATTTATATTCACAGTCCAATACTTTATTCTCAACTGTCTATATACAACTGACTGGCTCCGTGTTCCTTCACCAATATTTATATACACAATGGGCGTGTTCAGTGTAAACGAATTTAACGAATCTGATGCTATAAGCAGATTAAGCATAAAAAAACAATTATTTTCGTAGAAAAACTACTTTAAATTAATAATAAATAACAAAGTTATAGTGCTTTGAAAAGTTCACTTTTAAATCAATAATTTAAAACGCATTATTTTTGCGGCATTATACGCGTCATAATGAAGCGCCTATTTTCATTGGTCGCTGATGAATCGATGGAACCATAAAACAGTCAGCACAGGAATTCTTCTGTGCGAATTTGACAAGAAAACCGCGTTTGGTTCTCCATCTTTTTCTAATAGTAATATTTATGGTTAGTTATCTCTTTCTAAAATTGTATTAAAATTAGGTTGGTACGTGTTTTGATATATAAACAAACAAAGTTTGTATTTATTTTGTTTTTTAACCTCGTTTGTAAAAAAAATTGAAATTGTTTTTAAACTGTGTGAAGAAACCCTTGTTTATTTTACGTTCTATTGAAAATGCCTGGTTATATTTTCAAGTGTTTGGTCCCTACCTGCAGTAATAAAACCAGCCAAGTTGACAAAATTTTCATAAAAGTTCCTCAAAATCTGGACATTCAGAAGCGATGGTGGGCTGCAGCAAAAGTAAAAAACACAAACTACCATCGTGCTTTTATATGCGAAGACCATTTTGACGTAAGATACTTACCTATTTATTTATTTTTTTCAATTTGATATCAATTTATAAAACATAGTTGATCAACTTTGTAGGTTAATATACCTTATTATTTAACACCGAGCTTGTGGATACTAATGAATAATTGTATGAATTTATTTTTATTACAAAAATGTACTTTTTAGGTGGAAAAAGATGCCGAAAATTGGATGCAGTTCAAAATTATTGGTAAAAATTTAAAAATTAAAGGAGATGTTGTGCCTCATAAATATATTGATAGACCACCCAAAATTCCGATTAAAAGCTCTTTATCTGACTCTGCCAAAAAAAGAAGAATTGAAACTTTGAAATGTATTGAAAAAAAGGAAGAATGTTTAGCATCAACCTCATTCGAGCATAATGTATCATCACCGAAACGACCAAAAACTTCTTCAAAAATAGTTGCCAGAAAGCTTTTCAAAACTGACAGTGAATCACCAGATGAGAAACGTATGAAAGTATCATCACATCTTGAGTCACCATCTGGCTCATTTCAAATACATTATTTAGGGAAAACAGAAAACACATCAAAATCAGTTCAGGCAAAAATAACACCAATCATGAGAAGTGTGTCGACTGAGACCAAATATAAGGATTTGAAAAAAAGTAATATAGTTGCAGAAAAAAGTTGTTCTCCTATTTTAACATTGCAAAAACTGACTGAGTCTAAACTAAAA